GACCAGCTGGGGGCTGGATTCACCCTTTTTGCCTCTGAGCACTGAACTGAGAGAGCAGCTCCTGCCTTTTTCCCGAGGCTCCAGCTTTCCAAAGCTGCCTTCCTTTGGCAACCGAAGCTCCCATTCCTTGGGAAAACCAGCTTGGAGCGACCATTCCAGGGATCAGCCGCTGTGCCAGGGGCAGGGGGGCGAGCCCAGCACCCCCACCCTGCCTCACCTCCTCCTTCTTCTTCTTTGGTTTGCTCTCCTCCCCCTTGTCCTCCGTGTCCGACTCCGCTTTGCGTTTGCTGCCCTCGGATTTCTCGCTCTCGTGGGCGGTTTTCTGGGACTGCAGGAACTCTGCGATGAGGTCGGGGCAGTCCAGGTTCTCCTCGGGCTCCCAGGTGTTGTCCTCGCTGCAAAGCAAACAGGGCAGCTCAGTCCTGCAGCTCCCTGCAGCTTTTTCCAGGCTGAGGAAGCAGGTCGGCCCCTGGCCTGATCCCGGCGGGAATGCTGGAGGGCAGGGCAGGGATTCCCCTCCTCAGGAGAGAACTGCAGCTCGTTCCTCTGGCTGCTTGTCCCTCTCTGGGAAGGGGAAGACCCCCCCAGGGCCTGTTTGCAGGGCAGAACTGGGATTTTCCCACCCCAAGCCATGAGTTTGGGGGCGTTCGGCAGAGCGGGATTTTCCCACCTGGAATTTGGGGTGTTGGGCACACTGGGATTTTCCCATCCTGCCCTGCTGGAGTTTTGGGTGTTTGGCACACTGGGATTTTCCCACCCTGCCCTGCTGGAATTTGGGGTGTTTGGTACACTGGGATTTTCCCTGCTTGCACTGCTGGAGTTTTGGGTGTTTGGCACACTGGGATTTTCCCTGCTTTCCCTCTTTGCTCCATTCTCCACCCAAGGAGAGCCCCAGGGACACCGATCCTGCCTGGAATCTTTGGGATCCAAAGGCACAGGAGGTGCTGGCACACCCCTGGCCCCCAGAGCAGCCGGCTGGAGCCACTTACTCCGAGAATCCTTTCCACTTGAGCAGATATTCCACCTTTCCCTTCACCACCCGCCGATCCAGGACCTTCTCCACCACATACTCCTCCTCCTCTTCCTCTAGGACCTCTTCCACTTTCTTCTTGTTCTGTTTTTTTCCCATTGTGCTGGCCAGCTTTTCAGCTTTCGGGCGACGCTGCTGCGAGGGGAGGGAGCCAAGGTCAGCCCTGCCTGTGCCCCCCGGGAATTCTCTGGGATGCACAAGGGGCAGGGAATGCTGCCTGGGAGAGAACAGGCAGGGAAAACACAGAGGGACGGGTCAGGATGGTGCTGCCAGGCCAACAGGAATCAAAATCCCGGGATTCTGACGCAAAGCTTTGGGGGTTTTTTTGCCTCTCCAGCTCCTCATTCCACCAATTCCATGAGCGCTTTTCCCACGGGAGCTGTTCCACACCTTGTCCCTCCTCAACCTGCTCCCTTCCCTCTCCTCACCCCACACAGCCCAAAGGGTTGAACTGAGTGGTTTTTATATTAACTGGAAATGAATAAATCCTTAATCCAGGTCAAATCCAAGCCCCAGCCCCTGATCCCAACCTCCCCGCGCTGCTTCCTTTGCTGGATCGTGGATGGGCACTCTGGGATATTTATCCAACTCATCACCCCACAGCATGCAGGGTTTTATTTCCCCTCCTTATCTTCCAGAGCTGTTCAGTCAATCCAAAAATCCCTGGATATCCATCCAGGGCTGGCTGGGAAGGGAGAACTCCAGATTCAGAGCTGGATGGATGTAGGGGGCCGGAGCTTGAGAACAGTTGAAAGTGTATACAGTCGTGTATAAGATGAGAAGGTCGTGTCTGACCACGAAGGGCAAAAGGAGAAAAACAGGATGTCAAGGAGAAAAACAGGATGTCAAGTTAGGCAGTAAAAACAGGAACTTGTAACCGCAGAAGCATTGCTGACGCCAATATCAGTAACCAATGAAGAGAACCCCTTGTTCGCATGTACTGCGCGTGGACAAGGTGACTTAGCCAATAAGCTTATGCGTGATCGCGTGTACGGAAGTGCAACAAACATAAATGTAGTCATAGAAGCTTGAATAAACGGAGTTCTGCTTTACCCACATCGTATCGGTGTTCTTGCTCCCCTCCACCTGGCCGCTGCACTGTGGTGACCCCGACGTGATACTGCACGGACGCTGCGGACGAGAGAAGGTGGAGACATCCCGGCTGCTAAGAAAGCAGGCTGCTCGAGAAGCAGGAACCTTGTTGTGGCCACGGCTGACCGGTGAGTCAGGCAGACTGCGGTCTGGACGGGATGGGTGCCGCTGTATCAGCGATAGAACGAGCTACAGTCGACGGGTTGCTCAGTGTAGCGAAAAGGACTGGGCACACGCTCCCTCGAGCTGAGCTCGTGGACTTCTTGTATTGGTGTCGGAGACGTGGTCTCTTGACTTCTTCTGATCAATTGTTTGATATCGAACATTGGGAAAAGATTGGGTCTGAATTATGGCAAAGTGTGCAGAACGGCCAAAAGGGGAGCAAGTAGATGGCGCAGATCTTCCGAATAGTTCGGGAGATGATTCAACAAGTCCATGCTGATGCTGAAATCGCCACTGCTTTGCAAAAAGCCCTCGATTGTTCTACACAGCCGAAGGAAAAGGAAAAAGACGAGGAGGGAAAGGACAGTTGTTCGACGTTGATAGACTGGGAGGCAAAATCTGATCCTCCCTCATCGTACCCCCCACTAGCAGCGCCTATGTTTCGGGGAGAGTTTGAGGATCTCATTCCCCCTTGGACCCCTAACGAGATTTCTGCTGGGACAGCTGCTGCGCCTTCTGCGCCCCCTCCCCCGGAGGCTATGGAGGTTGATCCAGCTACAGTACCGTTACCGGAGGACGGAAAAACGTCCCCTCAGAATCCTCTTGTCGACGAGCTACGGTTGCAACGAGAGCAGATGGCTAAGTTGCTGGGGGCAATGCAAGAAATAGACTCTAAAGGGGGGAAGGGCAAAATGCGGGAGTTATATGAGAAAGCAGCTAAAGCGGTACAACAAGGGATACAGAACATAGAAGAGCAGCTTAATAGACATGAGGTAGCTGAATGGGGGGGCAGAGAAGGAATCAAACAAGCCATCCTGCAGCGTAGGTTGACAATAGCGGAAGGACAGCAGTTGATACAGCGACTGCTAGGGGCACACGAAGGGCTTACGACGGGAGAGAAAGAACAACTACAAAGGGCAGTAGACGAAGGCAGAGAGGAGATAGATGTCCGTAGGAGACTGCCTTTTGATAAGCGTGGGGCAGACCCTTTTGATAGGCGTGGGGCAGACGGAGCCCGGGGGCCTCCGCGAGATGATTCTTTTGATCCGACCAGGCGCTGGAAGGGTATATTGAGTCAAGCAGATTTAAAGGGAACAGTGGTCTTTGAACCCATTGTTGCCGCTCCAGTACAGGTCCACTCTAATGGTCGTAGAGAGTGGGTTCCCTTAGATTGGGCGATGATTTCTAAATTACAGCAAAGCGTTATGGCATATGGACCCCACAATTCCGCTGTGAAGCGACAATTGAGTGCCTTTTTAAAATATCAGGAGCTTATTCCTGCCGATATTAGGATGATCATGGAAATTCTACTTGGTGCCACCGCGTATACAATTTTTTTGGTGAAATGGCAAGAGCGCATAGAGGCATATCAGCTACAAAATCTTAATTTACACGATGATGACCCCCTAAAGGTAGCCACGCTGGAGATGATGATGGGGTCCGGTCCATTTAGAGATCCGCAACGCCAAGCAGCCTTGCACCCTAGAATTTTAGGACAAGCTAAGGCTGCTGCTCTAGAAGCTTTTCATGCCCTGCCGCAGATAGGGAAACCGAACCCTCCTTATCTTCAAATACGGCAGGGAGAAAACGAATCCTTTTTAGGATTTGTTGACAGGATTCGTGAAGCGATTGACGCTGTGCCCGATATAGATGCAACGATTAAAACAACATTACTCAAAGAAGTTGCATCCCAAAACACAAATCGTACTTGTAAACGCTTGTTGCAGTCGCTTCCGCAAGGTTCCACTTTAGTACAGATGATCGATCGCTGTTCGCGTGCACCTTGGGAAGAAGAGAAACAGCGCGCTAACATACATGCAGTCGCTCTTGCCGCCGCTTTGAAACAAAGCGGACTTGGGGCCGGTGATAGGGGCCCCGGAGGATGTTTTAATTGCGGTCAGTTGGGACACCTTAAGCGTGACTGCCCAAAGAAAGGCAAACAAAAAGTGGGTAAAGATGAAGGAATAGTTGGGAGTACTATTTGTCGCCGATGTGATAAGTTAGGACACAAAACTACAGAATGTAGGTCTCGTTTTAAGAGAGATGGAACCCCTTTGTCGGTAAACTCCCAGCGCCGCGGGTTGGGCGCGGCTGCAAAGTACCCAACAATTCGACCTCTGGTAGCAGCCATGGGCCAATCCACTCCAGCTATAGACCCGCTGACTGCCCCCTTGAATTCACCGCAGTCACAGCAGGAGGAGCGGGAGTCGATCTGGCCCTGGCAAGAACAGTAACTGTATCTGATTCTTCTGTAACATTGCTTGATTCTACTATGTCAGGACCGCTTAGAGATGGATTAAGTGCAGTACTCCTTGGTCTCTCCTCAGCAAGCAGACAAGGCATATTTGTTCTCCCTAGTGTAATTGCTGCTGATTATACCGGTCCCATCAAAATAATGGTCAAGGTGTTTGCACCCCCTGTCACTCTCCATCAAGGAAGTAAAATTGCGAAATTGATCCCTTTTAAGGCTCAAATACCAGGGGACCGAAAGCTTGGCAGTACTGGCAGTACATCCGAGCCCACAGTTTTCTTTACCACCGTGCTTACTGAGGAACGACCGACACGTCCTGTCATTATTAGCCTACGGGAAGAATCTCTTCATCCTGCGCCTGTTAATATGCTGCTTGACACGGGGGCTGATGTTACTATTATACCCTTTGACTGTTGGCCATCACATTGGCCACTAAAACCTGTGGCCATCACAGTTAATGGGGTTGGGGGAGATTCAAGATCTATGCAAAGTCAAGAGTTTGTCTGTTTTAAGGATGAGATAGAAGGCCGAAAGGCTTGGGTAAAACCTTATGTTATGCATACCCCTCTTTGGATTCTGGGCAGAGATGCTATGAGTCAATGGAACATAACGCTGAGTACTCAAAATTTACGGTAGTGGCCATTGAGGAGCAGAGGCCACCCATGCTTAAAATTCAATGGGTATCTGACAATCCTGTATGGGTGCCTCAATGGCCTTTATCAGAAGAGAAGTTGCGAGCAGTAGAAGCTCTGGTTGCCGAGCAATTAGAGCTGGGACATATTAAGCCCTCTGTTAGTGAATGGAATACTCCTATTTTTACTATCAGGAAAAAATCTGGGAAGTGGCGCTTATTACATGATCTCAGAGCTGTTAACGCCATAATGAAGCCCATGGGGGCTTTACAACCTGGCCTCCCTTCCCCAGCTGCACTGCCACAACAGTGGCAATTGTTAATTATAGATTTGAAAGATTGCTTTTTCTCTATTCCACTGCATCCCGAAGATACTGAAAGATTTGCATTTACAGTCCCTCAAAAAAATGCTGGGAGACCCTCAAAACGATACGAATGGGTTGTCTTGCCACAAGGAATGCGAAATAGTCCTACAATTTGTCAATGGTATGTAGATTTAGCCTTAGATGCCTGGGTAAAAGAACATTCTGAATACATTACATATCACTATATGGACGATATTTTAATCGCATCTCCTAAGCCCATGCCAGAAAAAGCTGAAAAAGACTTAATTCACAGGCTACAGCAATTTGGACTTACTATTGCCCCCGAAAAAGTTCAACGCCGACCCCCATGGCAATATTTAGGAATGCTTGTGACCGAAACGCGAGTTCGACCAAGAAAATTACAATTACAGCGTTCAGTTTCTACTATAAATGATGTTCAAAAGCTGGTTGGCGATATACAATGGATTAGGACATGGTGTGGTATCACAAATGAAGATTTAGCCCCTCTTTTTTCTTTACTGAGAGGTTCCCAAGAGCCATGGGAACCTAAAATGTTGACTCCAGAAGCGTTGCATGCACTCACAATAATCGAACAAAAAATAGACCGACAACAAGCTTATCGCTATAACCCCTCTTACCCTATCTGTGTTATAATCTATGGTTCCTTTTCTAGCAGGTCAGCTC